AGTTGATTCGCTGCGTTGAAGTCCCTTGAACGATGGTTTGGCACGGTGTTCGGATTCTCGGACGGTTATCCTCAAACGGAGCACTTCCCGCATTGAACATGTAATCTTGTAATTCGGAACCTGCGAAGAGGGAACTTGGAGGGCGGATTGAGTGCAACATCGCTGATGGTGCGCATCGAGCAAGGAACGTTCGCGTCATGTCGACCAGCGGCGACCCTGCCGCCGGCATTCAACGTGGAATGCCGCCAGCGATCCAAAACCGGTTGATGTTGAGCGACCTGACGTTTCGGAAACGGCCGATCGTTCAGAGACGGAGGAGGAGGAGGGGGAGGAGGAGGAGGAGTAGGAGGACGAGGACGAGGAGGACGAGGAGGAGGAGGACGAGGAGGAGGAGGAGGAGGAGGAGGAATGTGCCAGGAACCCGCGCCAGGGTCGGCACGGCGCGAGCCTGCCGCACGCACAGAGCGAAGCCGCGCGCCGCACCACCCTCCCGAATGAGCAGTGATGCCCAGGCGACTCGCGCGATCCGGAGACGGGGAGGGGGGAGGGGGGAGGGGGGAGGCGAAGAGGGGGGGGAGGGAGAGCATGAGAGCGGGGGAGCTGGCGGAGGGACCAGGGAGGCGGAGGAACCCAGAGATCCGACGTCGTGATTTCTTCCATGCGGGCTCCCCTGAAGTCTTGACCCACTCCCGAGAACCAGTTTTTCATCCTGAGTCGTTTCTTGACGGTCCTGGGGCCCAGCGAGGGCCCCTAGAGAGGCCGCAGACTGCGAAAAACCTCCGTCTGGATCTTTCCAGTGCGTTGGATCCCTCTCTCTGGGGAGCTGGCGGGCGGAGGGGAGGGGCCAGCAGGGGGAGAGGCCCGCGCGGCACGGGGCCTCCGCTTGCGCCGCCTGGGGCCGGCGGAGGGGCTCCGGGTGAAGCCGCGGCCTGCGCGCGCGCGCGCGGCGCGCGGCGCGCAGCGCGGCCGGGGGCAGGCGGAGGGCCCGCGGGCTCTCAGCGCGGCCGAGAGCCTGGAGGCCACAGCGCCTCGAGGGGCCGGGCCCACCCCGGGCTGGGGGTGCCACGGGGGCGAGGGGGAGGGGGGGGGGGCGGGGCTGCGAGGCCTGGCGGCGGCCCCAGGATCTGCCGACCAGACCGGCTGGGGAGGAGGAGGAGGGGGGGAGGACAGGCTGGGTGCGCTCGCGTCACATCTGACGTCCTACCCCTCCCGCCCATCCCTTACCTTGGCGTAGATCTCCTCTCCAATTCGCACAGTCGGATCTCGAGCAGGGCGATGATCGCGAGAGGGTGTGCGATGCATCGCAGAGCACGGTCTGGCATCGCGTAGAAGAGCACGGCAGAGCGTAGAATGTCGTAGCATGGCGTGGCATTGCGTAGTGAAGCATTGCATCACAAAGCATTGCAACGCAAAGCATGGCATCGCGCAGCGGCGCAGAACAGAACACCGCACAGCATGTCATGGTAGTGCACCAGGTTCCTTGGAGGGTAAGTGGATAGTCTTCGAAGGGTCGGGGCCCGTCTGGAGTCGCGGCTCCCTCCTCCTCCTGCTCCTCCCCCTGTAACGGACTCCCTCTCCCCCTCCCATGTACGACGCCTCCCCCCTCCAGTTTGTGCATCGCAGGATGGGGCCGTTTGGAAGGCCAAGGTCCTGCAGAACACACCAGCCAGCGGGAGTACAATAATTTAAGCACAATGGGAAGGGATGGTTGGGAGGGGAGGGAAAAGATGGGTAGACATATCTGGCATCCCTTCCCTCCCACCCAACCCTGTCAATTACGCTGTATTATTTCGTTTACGCCGACTGGAGTGTCCTTGAGGAGCTTGGCCCTCCAAATGAGCCAACCGTGTGACGCGCAAGCGGAAGAGGAGAGGCTGTGCAGTGGAGGAGGGGGAGGTGGTGGATGAACAAGATAATAAGCAGGAGGGGGAGGAGGAGGAGGAGGAGGAGGAGGAGGAGGAGGAGGAGGAGGAGGAGGACGAGGAGGAGGAGGTAGAGGAGGAGGAGGAGGAGTAGGAGGACGACGAGGAAGGAGGAGGAGGAGGAGGGAGGAGGACGACGAGGAGGAGAATCGGCAGCAGCAGGAGCAAGGGTCAGGAGGACCAGGAGGACCAGGGAAAGGCGGAGGAGGGGGAGAGGAGGGGGGGGGGGGCGGCAGCGGCGAGGAGGGCACCGGATCCAGAAGTGCGGCCCACGCTGGGGGAGAGCGCCACTCTCAACGGCGGGATCCCAGCGCCGACCCTGGCCAGCAACGCAGCGGGAACAACAGCACACAGGAGATACCAACTCATGGGATCCTATGTGAAAGCGATGCGCGAGAGAGAGAGAGAGAAAGACAGACAGACAGAACAGACAGCGACACCAGCGGACATGATGAATGATGAGGGAGCAGAGGAGAGCTGTACTCATAGTGAAAGTACATGTAGGGAACGAGAAGCAAGGAGGGGATAGGGTAAAGGAAGGCGAGAGGGAGGTCGGGCGGGGTAGAGGTGGCGGACATGGGATGGAAGACGGAATAAGGATAATAGTGAAGGCGAGAGGGGGAGAGGGAGGCAACGGGGGAGGCTGGGAGGGAAGGGAGAGAGACACGGGACGGGGAACAAGGAGAGGACGCGAGTCGGAGGAGCGAAAGGAAGAGGCCGAGGAAGGGGAGGACGACCACAACGCTCGGAGGCGCGATCCAATTGACCGAATCGCTCCTGTGTGAGAGTTTCATGTAGCCAATCGCGCCATAGTCATATGTAAATCGCAACAAGCAGAGGAGAACCGATAATTCCAGAGGGTGTAAGGGGGGTGGATCCTAATACCTCATGGCAAGGAAAATCTATGCTGCGCAGTGTAATTTGAAGAAGCAACGTTATGCAAACCATGTGGTGCAATTCGTTCGCAAAGGGTTGTCCACACCACTGCTTGCGCAATCATCCCACCCGCCAACGCGCAACTTCCGCGCATGCTTGCGCGCGCAGCGGCCCACGAGCTTGGCGCGACCGACGCGGCCGCTGTGGCGCTGACCGCTGGGCAGCGCTTTCGTGCTAGTCGGCGACTTCGGCGGGAGCGGTATCATGGCAACGTCGACAACGGTGGGCACGAGGATGACAGTAGCGATGCTGGTGACGATGATGACACAGACTACGGCAAGGCAGTGACGGCGCAGATGCGGATCACGCCGATGACGATGACGGCGTCCTCGCATCGAACTTGCAATTTTTAGGTTGCGTTCGACATGCGCGCGCGGCCGACGCGCGAGTGGCCCGCACGATATTACTTGACACGGATCGTGCCCCGCCATCACGCTCGCAAGGGCGCTCTAATGATTTCGACAAGCGGCGCGAAAGGCCCGTTCAGCATACATTGTATGACCATGTTGAAGACCTATGATGTCCACCAACATCCCACTAATCTCCTGGGCGTAGGTGTTTTAGGGAGGCCCCTCTTCCAACCCCATCCTTCCCCTCTACCCCTCCCCCGACCCCCTCCCCTGGACCTGGACGGAACTCTCGCTGGTATCTGGGGCGTTCAAGATGGCCCGAGACGGCTCCAAAAGCGCCTCGGAAAGCAGATGGCCCAAGCTAGCCTAAGATGCCTCAAGCTGACTCCCAAGATGCTCCAAGAGGCCCCGAGACCGCTCCAAGACGGCTCCAAGAGGCTTCCGAAACCATTAAAGAGGTTTCCAATAATCCAGAATCCTTTAAACACCTAAGGCAAAATCAACAATGTTTGCATCGTCGCCCGTTCGCTTTCGATCGCCTTCCTCAAGATGGCTCCAAGATGGCCCAAAAGGGCCCCAAAAGAGACCCAATCAAGCCCCAAGACGGCCCTAAGAGCGCCCAAGAGCGCTCCAAAAGCGCTCCCAAAAACGCCCCAAGAGACCATATTTGGGGCTCCCGAAGGGGCAGCCCTAATTGGGGAACCCCTCTTTTCTGATCGATGCCCTCCAAGATGGCCCCAAGTGCGCCCCCAAGGCTCCCAAGAGCGCCCCAAAGAGGGCCCCAAGAGGCGAAGATGCTCCCAAGAGGCCCCCAAGAGGCTTCAAGAGGATCCCCGAAACACCCAACATGCCCCCCAGACGCTCCAAGAAACATAACCCGGGGACGTACCCAACCCTTTTTTTCAGCATGTGGCGACTACACATCGGATCGCTCATTATAAAAACAAGCATGCAATGACCCGCGATGCCCTTGAATGTCGTGTTGCGATGCCACATGCGTTCGGAACACTCGATTTTCGGGACACTCGATATCGGGACACAGCATCATATGTAAATTGCAAAACGAACAAGGGTACCGGTGATTCCGATGGGGTGGTAGATCCGATTGCTCTTTTAGATCGGAGGCTCTGTGTTGTGCACCGTATGCGATGCAACCTACGTCGCGAGCGATCCAACAGCGCGCCATCGACGCGATTTTTCCCGTACGATCTGAGTGGTCCACGCCGGGCGGCGACGAAGCGGCGAATGGGCGGCGACGGCGGGAACATAGCCGTCAAACCGCCCATACGGCCCAGTTCCTTAGAGACAAATCCCAGCTAAGTGAAATCACTGTTTTGGGGAACGCCGCCAGGCATCACGACCGGAGCCTTGGATCCCATCTTTCTGCGTCACTTTTCGTGCCGGATCGATCTGCAAAGGGCGCAAGACCAGACAAACTCCCCCCCAGGCCTAAGCCGAGAAGCCCCCTCAACAGCCGACCCGCCCTTCCTTCGGAGCCCCAAAACCGTGTGGTGACGGACCGCGTTGTAACCTGACCTCGCCGCGCGGTCCTTCACCACGCGGTGTTGGGACCCCGCCGGCCCCACGACCCGAATCCCAAAACCATGCGGGGACCCCGAATCACAACTGACTCACCACCCAAATCCCCGACGTCATGACGTCGACACCCGGAACTCTCGACCCGCTCCCCCAGACCGGTCTCTCATCCCGAAGAATAATTCCCCAGCGGCCCCGAGGCCCAGCGGGGGCCCACCGCATAATGATTTCTTGACGGCCCCGAAGCCAGGCAAGGGCCCGGGGGAGGTCGCGAAAAGCGAAAAACCGCCCATCCTAATCTTTGAAAATCCCGAAGGGGTCAGGGCACGCGGCGCGGTTGCCACGCCGCTCGGGGGCCACATGGCGCGCTGTTTTGGCACCGCCAGGCCAGGTTCGGCTCGCCGCCTCGCCGCCCGCGCTCCGCAGGGGGCCTCTGCGCGCCCCTGGTGCCGCAGCCCCGGCGCCCCCCGGCCACCGCGCGCGCCCGAATTCGCCGGATCTGTGCACCGAATTCCACGGCTCCCCCCGCTCTTCTCCCTTTCTCTCCACGTCCTCCGCTTCCTCCTCCTCCTCCTCCTCCTCCTCCTCCTCCTCCTCCTCCTCCTCCTCCTCCTCCACCTCCTCCAACCCGTGTCCTCCGCCTCCTCCTGCGGCGGAGCGCGGGCCAGCTGCTCATTGACTTGGCACCAGCGCAATAGCCCAGCACTTGGCACTGGCCCCCCATGCAGGAACAGTCGCCTCCTATAGTGACTGGCGCGATGGCCCCGGCGGCCCAGCAGCGGACGCTCCCGGGGGGAGGGGTTGCGCCAGCCAGGGTATATAGACTAAGCATGAACGGGGCCTGGATGACCACCGCGAGCGAGTATAGGCGGCTTCGAGCGCGGTCGCCTGCGCCCGGCGCCGCGCGCAGCGCAGTGCCGCCGCGCCGCCAGCTCCGCCCTCTGCGGCGCTCGCTGCCCTGCCGCGCGGCGCGCCCGCGCGGCGCGCCCGCGCGCCGCGCGCGCAGCAGCCCGGCGGACCCCGCGCCTCCACCCCTGCCAAACGAGGCGCGCGCGCCGCCGCCGCCTCGGCTTGCCTGGCGCGCTCGACCACCGCGCCCCTGACGGCGCGGCCGGCAAGCGCGGCCTGGCGGAGAGGAGGGGCGCCAACTGCTCGGCCAGCGTCTCGGCGGGCAGCGCACAACGGCTGAGCCCCCCGGCTGGGGCTCCGCGTCTGTCGCCAGCGGCCCATCCCAGCACCCGCGTCGCCGCCAGCATCGTGTCGCCGGCGTGGCGCTGCAGGACGCACCCGAGCGACTGGTGCAATCACCCGATGCCCGCAGATCGGTGTCCTAGGCGGGCGCTGGCAGCCTCGTCAGTGCCAGCGCCTCCTCACCCAGGTGGCCGTGGTCCTCCACTACGAACGGGACCTCGGCCACCCTGGGGTAGCGAGCCCGCTTGCCCGTGCGAGCGCGCTCACCGCGGTCAGATCGACCATGGAGCGGCTCGGCGAGGCGCGGGGCGTGGACGACGAGGTTCCTCCGCGCCTCCGGGCGCCCCGGCGCAGCGGGGAGCAGGACTTGCCGGTGCACCGTGCACCCCTGCTCCTCGCACCACTCCGCGAACGCCGCGCAGCCCGCGCAGCGTCGGCGGACCAGCCACACACCTACGGTGCAGCCGCGGGCGTGCCGCCCCTTGGGGTCCAATGGTGGTGCGCCGCAGATCCTGCCAGGAGGGTGCTGGTGCTGGCAGAGCCTCGCGGCAGCCTGGGCCCAGCTGCGCCCGCCTCCGCCCGATTCCGGTGGGGGGCCCACGCGTCCCGGCAGGACGAGGTTCAGCCGGAAGCACAACGCGATGCCGAGCCGCGCGTCGGCGAACCGGTGGCAGGGCAGGGTCGCCACCTGCCGGGCCGCCAGGAGAGCGCAGGGAGGCCGCCGCCAGAGGGTCCGCAGCCGCTGCGCCAGCAGCGGAGCGGGCAGCCGCAGCGAGGGTGGTCGTGGCCAGGGTGTGCTGCGTAGCTGCCAGCGCCTCGTCGCCCACATTGGCGGTGTCGATTCCCAGCCTGGCCCAGAGCTCTTTCTGTCTCCTCCGTCTCCTCCTCCTCCTCCTCCTCCTCCTCCTCCTCCTCCTCCTCCTCCTCCTTCTGTTCCGAGGTTCGGCAGCGAGGAGGCGCTCGTGAGGGCCCTTGCTGAGCGTGGGGGAGGCTGTGCCGCGCCGTCCGTGTAGCCATGTGCTGGCTTCGCCTCGAAATTTTGGTCGCTGCCATCGGGTGGCGTTTCCTCGTCGTGGTGGCTGGATCCGCCTCGCTGCTGGCGCTGCCATCGGGTGGCGTTCGCCTCGTCGCGTTGGCTGGTTCCGCCTCGTTTTCTGGGCCTCCTTCGGGCGGTGTTTTCGGGGCTGGCGCTCCTCGTCGCTGTGCTGGTGCCCCTCGTTTTTCTGCCTGCCATTGGGCGGGTTCTGGCGTACCTCGTCGCACGCTGGATCTTCCTCAGATTGCCGAGCCATAGGGCTTGGCGCTTCGGCTCGCCTCACTGGTCGTCTCCCGCCCGTGCGTGGGGGATCGCCCCCCTCTTCGGCGCGGCGCGGGCGCGAGGCGGGCCCCCTCGGCCTGCGCGCCAGCATCCACTGACGGATGGACTCATCAGATCCCTCAGATCCCTCCTCCTCCTCCTCCTCCCCTCCTCCTCTCCTCCTCCTCCTCCTCCTCCTCCTCCTCCTCTCCTCCTCCCTCCTCCTCCTCCCCCTCTCCAACTCTTCCTCCTCCTCCTCCTCCTCCTCGTTTTCGTCGTCGTCCTCCTCCTCCTCCTCCTGCTCCTCTTCCTCCTCCTCCTCCTCCTGCTCCTTCTCCTCATCCTTGTCCTCCTCCTTCTCCTCCTCCTCCTCCTTCTTGCCTCCCTCTTCCTCTTCCTCCTCCTCCTCCTCCTCCTCTTTCTCTACCTCCTCCCGCGTCACTCCCTCCCTCCCTTCCCCCCTTTTTCCTCCCCAGCTCCTCAGTCTGTCCCTGATCCACCTCCTCCTCCTCCTCCTGCTCCTCTTTTTTCCTCTCCTCATCACCATCATCATCATCATCAGCATCATCATCATCAACATCAACATCAACATCAGCATCATCAGCAGCATCATCATCATCATCATCATCATCATCATCATCGTCGTCGTCGTCGTCGTCATCATCATTATCATCCCCCCCCCCCCGAGGCCAAGATAAGTGCGCAAGCACGGCAGGTGCGTGCCGTGCTGATATCGGCGTTGGTTCCTGACACCGTGGGGACCGTTCAACCTTGCACGATCGGCCGATTCAGAAACGTCAGATCGTTCAACATCGCCCGATTCTGGGCCGCCGCTCCCAAACCTTCGACATCGTGATTTGTTTACAACGTCGGCCCCGAGAGGTCCGGACCCCTTCCCAGGGACCGGTGTTTCGTCCTGGATCGTTTTTTGACGGCCTCGAAGCCCGGCGAGGGCACCCAAAGTTCGAAAATGGCCAGAAACTGCCCGTCGCGATTCGTGCACAGCGCGAGGAGGTCTGGGCTGGTGTCGGCTCGACGCGAAGCTGCCGTACGCGGGAACTGTCCCCTCCGCCCGCCGCGGGCCCCCCCGCGAGCCGCGGCGCCGCTCCGCGTCGACTCTACCCCCCGCCGCGGGGCGCGGCGTGCGGTCCGGGGAGCGCGGGCACCTGACGCAGCAGCGCCTGTGCGGCCAGCGCGGCAGGGGGGCGACGACAACGACGACGACGACGACGACGACGACGACGACGACGACGACGACGACGACGACGAAAACGACGACGACGACGACGACAAGATCGACGACAAGGGCGACGACGACGACGACGACGACGACAAGGACGACGACCACGACGACGACGGGACGTGCGTCCAGGGGTGCCGGGCGACGCGAGGCCTCTTGGCGCTGGACCCTCAGTGCGGCATCCCACAACAATCAAAATAAGACCCCAACAAGATCCCAATCGGATTCCACTCTGTCTCTTGCAGGATTCCGGGAGGATCCCTCATGGTTTCTGAAGATTCGTGAAGATTCCATTCGAAGGATTCCAACATGATTCCCCAAGGACTCCTGAGGGTCCCTGCAGGATTCCTGAAGACGTTTTTTGCAGGATTCCCAAAAGATTATTGACAATTTCTGGGGGCTTGGGAACTCCTTGAGAATTCCTGGGGGATTCCAGAGGGACGCCTGAGAAGTCTTGCTGCTTCCTGAGGAGTTCCTCCAGATTCTTGAAGATTCCTGAAAATCCCTGGAAAGTTTCTTGAGGATTTCAACCGGTTCTTTGAAGAGTCGTGAAGTGCCTGACAGTTCCAAAGGGATTGCTGAAGGGTCTCCTCAGGTGTCCCCCAGGCGCGGCGGCGCGTGGAGGTTGCGGCGCGAGCGTCAACCAGGAGTAATTTTTCCCCGAAGGATAAAACGTACATTCTGTTGAAAAACCTCGAGCCTCTTCCTCGCGCGCGGCCACTCGCAGCCGAAGGCCTCCAGGACTGGCAGCAATCCCACCCCAGGTGGCTGCAAGTAGACTGCACGCTGCTTTGGGCGTTGGGAGACCAGCAGCTGGAGAAAGCGGACGAGGAGAAGGGCGAGGACGAAGAGGACCCGAGTGAAGCCAGAAAACTGAAAAGACGTTGTGCCATCCCACCCCAACCGTGCCCCCCTAAGCAAAACAAGGCGCCTTCCGTCCGCGTGTCCAGTGCAGACACATGAGCCTCAGCTTGCACCGTCCAGCTCTATTCACGAGATGCTTCAAGCGAGAACCAGCATTTGAAATAGAAGCGACCTGCTCTCTGATCTTGACCTATGTACGACGAAGCTCATGTTACTGCTGCTCATGCTACAAGCTTACTGCTGCCCAATAGAAGCTGGGGCGGGGGACACGTTTTGGAATACGGGTGCTACGTAACCCAGGACGTGCGGGCGGGAAAGTTTTTTTCTGGGGATTGGAGTGCCCCTCAGGAGCTCCAGGAAAACCATGCTAGGTCACGAGTGATGTAAACCATGCATGGTTGGGCGCTGGGGTCGCATATTGGATCTACCTTCTCGGCTATGTGCAATCTAACCAGTTCACTCATACACTGTTCCTCGGATGACCTACTTTGCGAATTATTTTGCACAAAATATAGGGGGCGGCCCGATTTCGGAATATAGGTGCTAAACAACGCAGGCGGTGCGGGGGGGGGGGGGGGGGCGCTGGTATTCCTGAGACCGATATGCCCCTCAGGACCGCCAGCGAAACCGAATGGGGGGAAATTCGGCTTTGTGTTGGGATCTGATCAAGAATTTTGCGCTGCATTGGAATCATTGGAATTGCGCTCTTGACTCACATTGCCCTGCATTGCTTTGCGCTGCTGCGCATTGCTTTCCATTGTATTGCATTGTATTGCATTGTTCGGCGTTGCTCAACATCGCTTGGCGCTGCTCCGCGATATTTCTAGATTGTCTCAGGGCTTTGAGGTTTCCGGAGTAATCCTAAGGCTTCTTGAAAGATTCCTGCGGGTTCCTGAAGATTCCTGAAGATCACTGAAGTTTCCTGAAGGATGCCTGAAGGATGCCTGAAGGATTTCTGAAGATTCCCATGGACTCCTGAGAACTCCCGTAGGAATCCTGGGGGACTCCTGTGGGTTCCTGCTGGTTTTCCGCCGACTCTTGGATGATTCGTGAGGATTCCAAAGCATTCCTGAACATGCCTCAAAAATTGCTGCAGGATTCCTGTGGCCTCCATGGGACCCTCAAGGGTTTCTGCAGTTCCCAGACGAGTCCAATCTGATTCCCGAGAGATTCCTGAGAATTCGCGCGGGGGTCGTGGGAATTCCAGAGGATTCCTCGGAATCAATTAATGCTCCCCGCCCTCAATCAGTTGATTCCGAAGGGGGAATCAATGAATGCTCCCCCTCTCGAAATCAACTCCGCGAAGATTCCTCGGACAATTCGTAGCTCCCCCCTCGGAATCAATTAATACATAGTCGGCGGCTCCCCCGCCGCCCCCCCTCGGAAATGAATGTAGTTATCATATGTCTGGTGCTGCGGATCACGGGTGGGGACCGAAACAGGGAGGTGCGGGGTAAATTATACCAGAGATGACCCCAATCAGATGATGGTTTGAAGATTAGTGATATGGATGTTGGGATCGGTTGCGATATCGATAGTGGAATTGATTGCGAGGACGATTGTAAGGCCGATCGTGAAACCTGTAGTGAAGTCGATTCAATGAGATCGATCGTGCGATCGATCGTGAGATCGCTCGTGCGATCTATAGTGAAATCGATTGTGAGATCGATAGTGAAGTCGATTCTAAATCAACACTGAGATCGATCGAGAGGTTGGTAGTGAGATCGATTGTGAGACCGATCGATAAGAAGATCGACCAAGAAAACGGGAACCTGGGAACGCCGCCGCCGACCGAAATCGGCGGGAAACCCGGAACCGGGAACAAGGGAACCCGGAACCGGGAACCCGGGAACCCAGCCTGCCACCAAAATCAGAGGGAAACTTTCGCCAAATCTGTCAACCTCCGCGAGGACCCCGTCAATGCAAGCACTGTAGCTAGCATCAGGTCGGACATGTCCTCCTACAGGGGGGATTTTGGACGACAAATAAAACATTGTCCAAACATTCTCAAGAATAATTCCAAAAACAATAAAAACAACCGTCCCCAGACTTGCTTTAAAATGATGTCAAAGAAACTACTTTTGAGTATTCCTCCGGTAGATGGGACAGGCCCAACTTAAACCTAGCGAGCACCAGGACCTCCTGGACCTCTGAATTTCGGTCGGCAATATTTGGGGCCTTCCAAACAAGCCTATCGGCTTTATGTCTGGTCTGGGGTGCTTTCTTTTCAGCGCTCTGGACGGTCAGGTGCGCCGTGAAAGAAAAGCACGCGACGCCCCGGGACTGGGGCGCTGCAGTTCCTTCACGCTGGGCGCCTTCGCCCGGTCTCGGCCCCCAGGGGCCATCGCGGGCCGATTGGGCTCGAAAGGTGCAGCAGCGCGGTGCGGTCCATGATGGGCCTGTTAAGTTGGTGGGGGAGTGGGTCCTCCTCCTCCTCCTCGTCCTCTTCGTCTTCCTCCTCCTCCTCGTCCTCCTCCCCCTTCCCCCCTCCAACTTATGGTGGTGGTGGTGGAAAACAGGCCCATCAGTCCAGGGACCCGGCCGTGGCTTCTCGCGATGCCGCGTTTTCCACTGCAACGTCGGACCTCGGGTAGTGGTGCTTTTAGCCGTTCTGGCCCCCGCGGGCCTTTGCTCGGCCCTGGAGCCGTCAGAGATGGCCACGTACGCGCCAGAGGGGCCCCAGACAAGAGCGGCCTTTGGTGCGCGGCCCAACGGGGAGGACGCGGGGGGGCCAGACACGAGCGCGCAGGACGCTACCAGCGCACGGCACTCGGCGGTCGGGGGGCCCCAGTTCCAGACCCCTGGCGATACGATGTGAGTTTGTCACAACGCCCCAGAGGTCTGGACCTCTTCCCCAGGACCGGTTTTTCATCCTGAGTCGTTTTTTGACGGCCCCTGGGCCCGGTAGGGGTCCCCAGAAGGAGAAAATGGCGAAAAACCTCCCGCCGCGATCTTTTCACAACGCGAGGGGGTCTGGGACTAGCGCGCCGCACTCGGTGATCAGGGGGCGCGCACCAAAAAGGTCCCTCCGGCGTAAGGCTGCTTGTCTGCGTGCCGTCGACCACGGAAGAGGATCGAGATGGGCCGCCTGTCCTGGGGGAGAAGAGGCCGAGACCCATGGGGCTGAGTGGGCCCCAGAAGCGGCAGGGCCGTATTTTGTTCACCGTCTCCGAAAAAGCGTCTCTTCAAAAAGGGAAGCGGCACCGAAAACGGCGACCCGAAACGGCAACGAAAACGGCTCCAGGAGTGGAGCCAGAGCCGGAACCGGTAAAACAACGGCGACGGAGCCAATAACAAGAACGGCGTCGGAACGGGCAACAGAACGGCAACACGGAACCGGTAACAAACACAACCCTGTCGTTTCTGGGGCCCACTAAGCCATTGGGGCCCACGCTGCGAAGCAGGGCGCGGCGTCGGGCCCAGACCTCCTCGAGTTGTGAGAAAATCACGACTAGACGAGCGCGCTCCACGACTCGCAAAGTAGCAACTTGCAAATGGCCTGGATCCCCCGCGGGGGATCTAAGACAAATTACATCGAAGCAGGCATGTGTTTTTCGGACGTCTGCGAGTAGGCACTTTGCGAGTATAGTGGAACGAGCTCGGTGAACGACGGGAGACTTTTCGCAATGTTCGGCCTCTGGGGGCCCTCGCCGGGCCCCAGGACCGTAAAAAAACAGCTCAGAGCGAAAAGCCGATCCCGGGGAAGGGGGCCAGACCTCTGGGGGTCGACGTTGTGAAACAATCACGACGTCGGGGGTCTGGGGGTTCTGTGCCTGGCAAGCCCGCAGCCCACGTAGAACCCCATCTGATCCCTGAGATCCTGGCGAGGCAACTTTCTTTCACAATACGGGCATATTCGCCCAGTTTCGGCCCCGGGGTCCTCACAGATCGATCCGGGTCGACAAACCCAGAGATCGGGCGGCGTGATTTTTCTATAAGGGGTCCCTGGAAGTCTCGATTTCAGTGCCCGTGACCAGTTTTTCATCCTGAGTAGTTTTTTGACGCTCCTGGGGCCCGGCGAGGGCCCCTGAAGGCCGAAAACAGCGAAAAACTCCGTCTTGATTTTGTTCAAGACGACGTTGGATCTCTGGGAATGCCGCTGCGATGTTGCAATGTTCGTCGCAACGTCGGATCTCAGAGGTAGCAGCGTCTTCGCTCCGAGTGGGGATGAGCTCCGCCTGGGCTTCGCGCTTCGCGCCACACGAGAGTAGGGTCAGTACAGCCCGCGGGCCACAGGATGATGTCCATGGGCTCTGACCGGTCTTCCCCGACGCCCCACGTTGCGACAAAAATACCATGGGGGCATTGGATAAGGAACCCTCAGATAAGACATCCAGGGACTGGAGACTGGTGGAGCTCCAATCGAAGCTTGGCCATGGATCTCACCGCCGCCCTCGTCGGATGAGGCATCCTCCAGGGTCTGCCGCCTCCTGGGCGCATGCCTTCACCAGCGCCCCCTCCGCAAGCCATCGCGCGACCGGAGACCCATAGACCAACATCTGTCTCCTGCAGCTGCAGCTCTCGAGCCGGACCGACCTGCGACCCGCGAGGGCCCGGGGCCCGAGACTGGGCGAGGACGCCCCGTCTCGACTGCGGCGCTCTGCTCTCAGGGGTCGCCCATTGGCTCCGATCCGCTGCCTTCGAACCGGAGCTGGCGCCCGCCGGCCCCAAACCGCTCGAACCCCACGCTTGGTGCCGCGGACCCGCCGAGGGCGCGGGTCGGTCGAGCGGCCCAGCCGCTCTGGACAGCGACTTGTGCACTGCAAGGGCAGGGAGAAGAGAGAGGCAGGGCGGCCGCGGGGGGGGGGGGGGCGCGGAGGGGAAACTCGGACCACGAAGGTCTTCGGCAGGCAGCATGCCGCGGCCCAGGCTCGCTCGAGCCGATGCCGCACCGCTGAATCCCACACTATAGGGGACCAGCTCTGCCTCCTGGATCGTGTTCCGACGGCCCCCTGTGCCCGAATTCGACATTTGGCCGGCCCTCGCTGGTCCCTGGCGGCCCTCGAAGAGCGACCGCTTCGCCTTTCGTGGCAAGGCGTGCCGAGGGAAAAGAGGGAGGCCATGCTGCCCAGCCTGCTTCCGGGAGCTTCCTCTGGCGTGCTCGGCTGCCTCGGGCCGCTGCGGCATACCTCGGGCTGCCTCGATTGCCCAGGGCGTACTCTGGCCACGGGCTGCGTGGGTTGCCTCGGGAGTGCTCTGGCTGTTTCGGGCAGCTCGGGGTTGGATGGGGAGGAGAGGTCTCTGCGTTTCTGGTGGTGTTCGGGTGCTTCTGGCGGGCCTCTGCTATGGGAGGGAGGGAGGGGGCGAAGAGGAGGAGGAAGAAGAGAAACAGAAGGAATAGGACCAGTGTAAACCCAAGGCGCGTCAACAATGTTGGAAGAAAGCCTCCCTCCAAATGCCCTGTTCAACGTGCCAATACACAATTCCTGCGATAACATCGCCGCGAATCAAAGTGGCCATTGCGTCCTGACAATCCTGTCTCGCGTCAGAACACCATTACTGGAACTCCAACGCAGCGAATCAACGTGACTGTCGCGCCCTGAAAATCTAGAACCGTGCCGGAACACCAATCCTGGGGTTTCAAACGCACCAATTCTTGAAAGTGTCGCAAACTTTTGAAACGAATGTGCGCGGCGCCAAAGCGAGAACCACTTTTCGGGATCGCACTCCATCCGTGAGGCTGTCGCATCTTCTCAAACGAACGAGAGCGGCGCTGAAGCAAGAGCCATACTTTGACAACCACCAGCCCTCCATCATTGAAGCTGCTGCAAGCGTTCGAAGCGAATGCGCGAGGCGCAGCGAGAGCCGCACTATGAAAACCACCCGCCCTCCACCCCAAGAGGCTGCTGCAAGCTTTACGGCGCGCGTGAGCGGCGCCAAGGCGAGAGCCAGACTCTGAGAGTAGCCCGCGCTCCATCAGAACCGAGACTTTTGCGCGAGCGCTCAGTGGCGAGTGTGCGTTGCGCCCGGGCGGGAGCCACATGTTCGACCATCCCCCCTCCCGCCCTCCGTCCACGCAGCCGTTGCACACGTCCGGCCTCGGGATCCGAAGCAGTGGGGACACCGGGCAGCTAATCCAGAAGCCGCATTAAAGTGATCATTTGTTTTTTGGCCCCCCCTCTGTCACAGAGGGGGTCAAATATGCCCCCCCTCTGTCACAGAGGGGGTCTAAGATGCCCCCCCTCTGTCACGGAGGACCTCGTTCTGGGTGCTCTTCTGCCACGGGAGCTCCCGATACGATTGGAGACGATAAAATGCGATAGCGGGATGGGGGATTGGAGGGGGAGGGAGAAGAAAACGATGAAGGAAAGGAGGCGACGACAGCACCGATGAAAGCACCGTTTCTTTTTCGTTCTCCGCTCGGGCAGCGGTCGCCGAGCACGACGGCGCGCGCGAGTCGCCGCCGCTCACGATGCATTGGCAAGGCCTCCGCTGCTGCGGAGGGTCGACGTTCGGCCGATGAGGTTTCCCTCCGCTGCTGCGGAGGGGCGGCTCCTGTGCGATGGTTCAGCTAAGTTTTTCCCAGGGATTGGTTTCGGGGGGGTGTTCGACCCACCTCCAAGTCGCGACCTCCCAGTGCCCCTGGCCGCTACTCCACCCACTGCGGCTGCTCCACCAGTCACTGGGGCGTTGGTCGCTGCCGAATGCAACTTGCATGTCGCGCCAGGCGGAGTCGACCATGCGGCCCTGCAGCGAGGAAGCCTCGCCGCTCGGCTGTTGCCACTCGCGCTCCTCGCCCTCCTTGGTGCGCCACCACTCATCCCTGCGCCACTCCCCGTCTGTTGGTTGCTGCCGTGGCGTCTGTGGCCTCCGCTGCTGCGGGGGCTCTGGCGGCTCGTGGCCGAGGGCAGCGATCGCGTGCGAGATGTAGCTGGCGGCGCCGCGCTGCCCTCGCTGCTCCAGCGGCGCAGGCCCTGGAGATGGGCACTGCGGGGTCGGCTGCCACCTTGGGGGTGATAAATAATTATTTCTATAATTATCCCCTCCCTGTCAACTCCCGCCCCTTTCCGACACTCATTTCCTTATGTCATCCCTCGTCCTGCTCAGCCTATTCCTCATTCCCTCTCCTCCCTCCTGCCCTCCCCGTGCTCCACCGCCCCTCTCCCCCCCTCCCCCTTTCAACCCCCCGCCGCGACCTTCCATCGCCAGCCGCGGGCATGTCGCGGCCGTCGTCCGCGCTTTCGTCTGCCCATCTTGGTGGGCGCCACGCCTGTTGGGCGCGCTCGTCTTGCTCGTCCCTCTCGCTGTGCTGCTCTGGCGCCTGGCGCTCGGGTCCGTGCTGCTCGGGCGGCAGCGGCGCCCTGAGCGCAGCTGCCAGCTGTTTCTGGGCGCGCCTGTCCTTCTTCTCTTTGGCTCTCTCCTGCTTCCTCCCCTGCGAACGCACGCTGGCCATGCGCATTTGGAACAGGAGAGGGTAGTGGGCGCCGCCGTGCCAGCGCCCCTCCACCTCCACGGTCTCTGGCGGGAACGTCTTCTGCAACGCGCGGAAGAGGGTCACCTCGCGATTACTAGAGAAGCGGTGGTCCCCTCTAGCCTCAGCCTCGGCGCGCCTCAGTTTCTCACCTCCTTCTCTTGGATCTTGCGTTGGCATTCCTCTGACTGAGTCAGTAAATCCTGGAGGTGCTCGCGGGCGTCTTTTTTCGGGTAGTAGCAAGAGTAAGGCATCCCAGGGCCTCCGTTCTGGCTGTGGTGCCAGTACGTCGGCTGCGATGATGGGCTGGTGGAGGCCCCCGCTGCTGCGGGGGCCTCTGCCTTGCTTCTGTTACGGTACCCGATCTCACCGATCACCGACTTGCGTGCGAAGAGCAACCCCGTCTCGTCTCTGTCGTGCACGGCGCTCAGCGGCCAGCACAGGGTGTACTCGCCAGGCCTGTTGAGAACGAAGATGCCGCAGCTGTCCAAGCACGGAGTGCCGTCCAATCCGCGCCAGAAGTACGCTGCTGCCGTCTCCAATCGCATGCCTAGACCCCGAAGACTCGGCAGCGTCTGTGTGAGCGCCATGTTGAAATCCCCACAAAGGATGTCAACGCTGTTGTCCTGCAAGATGGTCGCCAACCTCGGCCACCACGTCTTGTGAGCCTCGTTGAAGCCTC